CCCCAAAACCCCAAAACCCCAAAACCCCAAAACCCCAAAACCCCAGATGGAAGCTTATAAATAGAAACCAATGAAATTCTTATTGAAGATTATTCAACATTTCGGTCTTAATCAATATTAGACCTACAGATCGGACAAGCATGGTGTATCTTCAGCCACTTCTTGATTCAGTCTGGATGGAACAGATGTTTGCAAGGTAATATATTTGCTTTGCTCTCAATATCATCAGTACAAATTCAACAATTCGGAGCCTCCTTCTCCTCAATAGACTGATTAATGGCATCATTATTATTGATGTCAATAGTCTTTAAATTATCAATGGCATCCTTGGTCGCAGGTTTTTGCCTGTTAGGGGAGTCCATCATTATATTTCTCAGCAATCTTTCGAAAATGTTATCAATTTGTCTAAAACTTGGCCTTGATCGAGGGCCAAGTCCAGATCCATTTGCAAAAATAGAACGATTTTCTCTCCTTCTATTTGGGAAAAATTCCATATCGCTCTGCAAAGGGAAACGAATAAGTCGAAACCTGTCAGCTTCTGGAGAGTCAGGCCCAGAGTCATTTCTGATAATAGTTGAGATAAATCCGTTCCCATTAAAAGTAATTCTATTGTTAAATTCGAAGGGGTCAGGGAACCCTTTACTTTCTTCTTTACTCTCTTCATTTCTGTCATCTATTGAAATATTTAGAAGATTAATTGGATTAATTACGCCCTGAAGTCTGTAAAATTCATAAATAATTTATGTTAGTTTCCAAATACCTGATATCTCTTCAATAAATTCATCTTCGCACCTTGGACAACAGCGAGTGCTTGGGTAAGCTTGGAACCTTCTTTCGCACTTGTATCAGTGAAAGTTTATCTTTTTCCTCCTGTTCATCATCAAAGGGATGCTTGGGTAGGTGGGTGCTATTGTCCCTTCATCACAAATGTCCAGGTCGTCACAGCTATCGTAATTTTCCATTTTAAATTATTTTATTCAATCTTTTACTTTAGCTTGGGGTTTTGGGGTTTTGGGGTTTTGGGGTTTTGGGGTTTTGGGG